GCAATCTTCGTGTCCAAAAGAAACAAATTCGCCCCCCTCCCCACCCCTGTTGCAATGTTGTTTTGGCCTAACAGCTCAAGTGTGCATTTCTTTTGTTATCGCAAACAACATTGCAAAAGGGGAGGGGGGAAACGGTCTTTTAATTTGCGAAGGTAAGCATTTTTGTCAGGGTGAGTGAAAAAAATAGGTATTTTTGTAATTTGTCTCAACAGGTTTTGTCCGAGGTTGTCTAGAGGTGTTTTTCTGCATTTTTTAACTGTGATGTCAATTACTACGAGTCATTGTTATTTTTTTTAGGTGAAATGCATGAAACTTATTGTTTTTGAACACTTTTCACTTTTGTGGAATGATTAAAAAAAATTTTGGGCTGAAAAATGAAGTTATGTCTGTTACATTACACGGGGTGTGTAATGCGTTTTTCTCAGTAACGTTACCATGGACACATTTTAAAACAAGTCGCTCGTCCCTAAACGCTTTACTTGCGAGAGTAACGACATTCTCTCGTAATCGCCGACCTAAATAGAACTCTTACGATCTTATGATAGCGAGGATACATTTTCAGAGGACTGTGAGTCATTTCAGGAAGCGCTAGGTCAGAAAGAAGTAAGAAGCGTTTATTTGATAACATACAGTCAGGCTAATTTGGACCTATTTCCCACGCGAGAAGAATTTGCCTCCGCGGTAGTAAAATCATTTGCGAAATGCAATGCGAAAATTGTACAGTGGTATTGTAGCTGTGAAAACCACAAAAAATCCGGAAAACACTACCATCTATGTGTGAAGCTTGATCGCAATCAACGCTGGCTGTCGTCGAAGGAGTTTTTACGCAATGAGTATGGGATAAACGCGAACTACTCAAGTAAGCACCATAATTACTACAGTGCCTGGACATACGTAACGAAAGAGGATGAGAATTTTATTGAAAGTGCTGGCCACCCGGACCTTAAGAATGCCAGTGAACTGAAAACAAGTGCCGCAAGTCGTGCTAAGCGGAATAACAAACACAAAAGGAAAGCTGCAAACGAAAGTCATAGCGATGAGGATGATCAGGAGAGTGATGACGACAAAGATACTGATATGCGTACGTCTAGAAGGAGTGCTAGCACCAGAAAGAGAAAGCGTCTTACAACATTCGAAGTCACATAAATTATAGTTGAGAAAAACGTGAAATCGCTGGTATAACTGCAAGCTTTGGCTCACCAACAGAGGGCAAAACGGATCTTGTTGAATTCCTAGTAAATCGCACGCCAAGGGCGGTCGCAGATATATTGAATACCGCGTGGGAAATTGAGAGTGCTGCTGACAAACTGGCACGATCCAAGAAAACTCGCCTAGAGTTATTGCAAGAAGCGAAAGAAAAAGAATGCACAGAGGGTTGTGATGGGCTGTGGAAGATTTGTGCCGAAGAAATCCTAGCCAATAATCAGGTCCCACTACAAGTATTTCACAACGCAGTGTGTGATTTGCTGATAAAGGGAAGGGGTAAATACCAGAACAATATGACCACTGGCAATGCGAACTGCAGTAAAACTTTCTTACTTAACCCGTTGACCTTGATTTTTAACACTTTTTGTAATCCTGCTTCCGGGAGCTTTGCCTGGGTTGGGGTTCAAAACGCTGAATGTATTTTCTTGAACCATTTTCGGTGGTCGCCACAAGTTATGCCGTGGCATGATCTGTTACTTATGCTAGAAGGTCATGTTGTGCATTTACCGGCGCCGAAAACTCACTTCGCAAAGGATATTTCATTAACTAGTGACACCCCGATATTTTGTACAGGAAAACAAAGGCTCATGTACATCAAAAATGGAATTGTGGATGGACGTTAGGTGGAAAATATTTTATTTCACGTATCAGATCCTGCAGGAACAACAACGAGACCTCCCGTCATGTGCTAGGTGTTTTGCAGAGCTTATTTTTCCCTCATTAACATAGTGGCTTGGTCGTACACGGTCAACTTAATAAAGAGAACCCAACAGAGAGAAAACACCACGGTTAACATCGGCTTACAACGGTTAACAACTGTACGGAATAAAACAATAGACTCTATCTTGTTTTTCTTTATGAAATGCTGTTGACCGTTGTTAACCGTTGTTAATCGTTCAAATAACTATGTTCCAGTTTGTTAATCGTTTAATTTTTGCATTTTATCATTTTCGTAGTCTTCTGCTGATTGGCTAGGCGAGTTTTAATATTGACAGCGGCCCTTTTGTAGCGGAAAAATTCACATCGTCATGGTAACCAGATACTATACAGTCCTTTTTTACAGTTAGTTTGTCACTCGTGTGACGTAGTATCCCTACTAGAATATAGGCATGTGAATAAAAAGCCATGGTTTCATCTCCAAATTCACTGTTTCTACTAATTGGGCAAGTGTATGCCTAGTATTTTGTTCTCTGTCCCTTAGAATTTATAACTAGAGAAATCCGATTATCCATCGATTCTATGATTTTGTCAACTACATCAACTGGCATGTTCGTAATTGTTCTAATTACACGCTCACTGAATTCTTCGTAAGTTTCACGTGTAATATTTAACTCAAGAGCTTTCTTATCCAGCTCTACTTTAACTGTATGAAAAAATTTTTCGATAGAATGAATATCACCACTCCTTGGGGGAAGTTTCAACTGCTTTGCTTTTTTAACACGTAGCGCGTGGCGTGCTGACGCACTATTTTGAACAGGACAGTTGTCCTGTACAAACAATCGTGACCCATTTTTGTTCGCTTTTCTAAACATGTTCTCAAAATTATCCTGTACAAATTCGGCAAAGTACACGCCGTCTAGTTTATCATACTGATGACACACAATAGCTCCTTTGCCGTACCTAATAGCCACAACCACTTTTACAACTTTTCCACCGCTTCTCACTTTGCTTCCCTTTGCAATGCAGCCGCGCATAAGTCCCTCGCACTTCTTGCGCCAAATACGGCCGCGAGGCGCACTGGCTTGATCTGCTGGGTTCCTTTTATGCCAAAAATTGACACAATCTAAATGAAAAGCTACATCGTCTTTCCAAACATCCTTTGAGTAGTCTTTTCTCATATGTTTGGCGAATTTTAAGCGTTCTTTTAAGTCCTTTTCTGACAGAAGGCCCTTTTTCATTGCCTGGAGGAAATGGTAACCTTTCCTTCGAAGGAATCGCCTGATGGTTCTGTTACTCACATGTTTTGGGCTTATTCCAGCTCTCGATGTTAGCCTAATGGATGTAAAGTTACCTTCTTCATGTCTCAAACTGTACAAAGTTCGTAGAATTTTGCGTTGCTCTCGCGAGCTCAGTTTTCGGGGCTCTCCTCCCAAATTTCTGTTCCAGTCCTCTCTTTTATAGCTGTCAATTATCCTGTCCTTTTTTATCCTGTAGACCGTGGCTCGTGAAACATGGCATTGTCTTGCTATATCCTTTATCAATAATTTCTTTTCTTGTGTTAAATACATAATATAAGCCCTTTTAAACGGGTTGATTTCACCATTCAACACCATGATTTCTTTCCCGTGCACCTAGTAGGCTGTTAAATATAGCGGCGTCTTTTTGACGTCACAATTGACGTGTTCTAATTGCTTAATTGACGTTTCCGATACTTTGGCAGAAAGCTCATTAAAATGGCAATAACTGGGCCAAAAATCACTATCTTCTGAACTTCCATTGCGAGGATACAACAATGTGAACTATGAGCCATCTCAGACAACCCCAGACAAAACTGTTGAGACATTTCAATGCAATTTTCAATTTCGCGCCATGCAATCTTCGTGTCCAAAAGAAACAAATTCGCCCCCCTCCCCACCCCTGTTGCAATCTTGTTTTGGCCTAACAGCTCAAGTGTGCATTTCTTTTGTTATCGCAAACAACATTGCAAAAGGGGAGGGCGGAAAAGGTCTTTTAATTTGCGACGGTAAGCATTTTTGCCAGGGTGAGTGAAAAAAATAGGTATTTTTGTAATGTGTCTCAACAGGTTTTTTCCGAGGTTGTATTGTCACGAACTGTTTTGCAACTTACTATTGCACATGCCTCTACGATTTTAGTTTTAATTGAATTATTCCCGTCCAATATTATACGAAATGCTGAAACAGAGCTTTGTTTTTTGTCATGGGTTCGGCAATGTTTCCCTCGTGTAGTTTTTCTGGTTTATTACACGACGCCACACCCTGTGGTTTAAGCAGCGATTATCCAGGCCAAGTTGAAGTTCTCGCTTTAAGAAATTGTACAAGGGAGATATCGAGGCACTGCAAGCTGTATGGATTAAAAGCAGATACAGCACTTGACACTGAATGGAAACTGCTGTTAGCAAGAGCAGGTAAATCTTATGTACTGTCTTACTGTCTTACGTAATGGCTAATAGTGGTGTACATTTCCATCATCTCTTTATCACAGACCTTGATGGTTGTGTTATTCTAAGAAAATCTTCAGGTGCTTTCCATTCAGCGCAAAATTCCGGAAGTTTTGGTTAGAAATCAAATGTACGCTACCATTTGGCAAAATTATTGTCCCAAGTACTTGCGTACCTCTCTTTTGTATCCTGCTTTCAGAATATGCAAACGCATTCATCTCTTTCCTTTATCCTCGGCGTTAATATTTTGCAAACCTATTATTAACGCTTATGATAGCAAAAAAGATCTTTATTCACCACCCCACCCCCACTCCGCCACCCACCCACGCACACACCAACACACAGACTTTAAAGACTTTTTTATGAAAACGTGACCTCGAGATCTCCTAGCACACGAGCCTCTCAACTCGCTCGTGATGTATGCAATTCTTCGTTTGCAACCACGTGGCCAAATTTTGTTAAGTAACTCGCATCCGCCATGCTGGTGGACATCCATTCAGTCAAATATGGCTTCCGCGGACACGTGTTCGGGCGCTAGTGTGGCTTTTTGGAATATTATGCTGGTCTTACCGGTCCAGCAAAGACGAGATATCGTGAAAAGGATCTTACGTGTGGATTTGATCCATAGATGTTAAAAAAATCGGAGTGTAGTGAGGATTTAGCAGATTACCCTAGCATGGAATATCCTGACCTCGTCAGCTATTTGGCGCTACAGACCTCGTGGATTACTGGGCAGCAAATGAAAGCTTACAAGTCTATGGACGCTTACAACTTTTTCGTTTCAGGGTGGGTAAATATAATTTTTACCAAACCAGTGGCTGGAACCGACAAAGTGGTTGTTACAGCGAGAGAGACGCCTTTAAAGACGTGGCTCCTTGCTGAAAAGGATGGAAATGTGTGCATTGCGCACTTTAACTGCATGGCAGGACTTTGCGAGGCCTGCTCACACGTCGGGGCTCTTCTTTTTGCCATTAAAGCCGTTAGAATGTGAGGGTCGGTTACATGTACACCGGAAAAAAGTGGGTGGATAATGCCTTCTTATGTGAAGGAAATTCCATACATTCCTGTCTCTGAAATGGATCTTTCCTCTGCTAAGAAACGGCATGGTAGTTTGGGCGAACAAGGGTCTGCTACCCCAGACCCCAGAGAGAGGAGAAATGTCCAAGAAACCACAGCAGAAGAAGAGGCCAACTTTTTTGAAAGAATTTCAAACTGTTGGATCAAACTGGACATTCTATCCATTGTTGCACCTTATAATGCTGCTTTTGTACCTGTTGAGAACAAAACAATGCTAAAGCCATTAACAGAACTGTTAAATGAAGAGAATCTGGGAGACACCTTGCAGGAGTTACAGCAAAAGTCTTAAACAGCTTTTAATGAGCTCAAGATGTGTCAAAGAAGCAGAAACTGTTGAGAAAGCAACAAGAGACCAGGCAGACAGCAAAGTGTGGTTGAGCAAAGAGCGGGGCGAGTGAGTGCTTCAAAGTTTAAAGCTGCTTGCTCAACCAATCCCGACAAGCCATCAAAAAGCCTGATTAAGATGATTTGTTACCCTGGTGCTCATCGCTTCTCAAATGCAACAACAAAATGGGGCATATCAAATGAGAGCAAAGCAGGAGAAGCATACGAGTTTTCAATTGCAGATCAGCATCTCAATTTGTCTGTAGTGGACAGTGAGCTACACATAAACGAGAACTGGCCCGTTTTAGGTGCTTCACCTGATGGTCTTGTTTTTTGTGAGTGCTGCGGAAAAGGACTCTTTGAAATTAAATGTCCTTACATGTGCAAGGAGATGCCATCCTGGTTACTGTTGCAGCAGACAGCAGTTTCTGTCTGAAATATGATGACAATGGAGGAGTGGACAGTGGAGTACTGTGATTTTGTTGTCTGGACTACAAAGGACATGTTTCTTCAGCGAGTGTTGCCTGACACTGAGTTTTGGGACAGAGTGGTGACAAGGGCAATACGCTTCTACAAGAAAGGAGTTCTCCCAGAGATTTTAGGTCAAGGGTATACACGTTCTAGTGCCCAGCCTCGTCTCACTGAATCACCATCAACAGAGAGCGACGAAGATGGACCCTGGTGCTTCTGCCAACAGCACATCGAGGATAGCCGACTAATTGGGTGTGACAAGGCTGGCTGCAAAATCCAGTGGTTTCACATGTCATGTGTGGGACTTACCTGATGGTGAATGGTTTTGCTCCTCCTGAGTGTAAAATTGTTTCCCAAAGTGGTTTTGGAAAAAATACGTAGTAAACAATTTTCTGCTGCTTTTGTGTTCACCACTTTAGAATGAGAAGGAAACTAGTCTGAGTTACTCTTCCCAAAGCGTAATGAGACTTTTCTGGGGACAGAGAAAATTCACACAGCTTTTAACAAAATAACCATTTTTTAGTCCCCAGTAACTAAAAAATCCCAGTAATAATTGGACATATTTCGACTTCAGATTCCTTGTCATTTTAAAGTGGCGAATTGTTTGTATTTTCCTACACCATACAAGATTTTCCAGTTTTATTTTTAGGAGAGTAGTACTTACACTGTAACTCTTCAATATATTTTGTCAGTTGGTTATTATTGTAATGATCATAAGAGCAGAAGACAGTTTATAACAGTAAAATAACATTTTATTATCAGAACATTGCTAAGCCTTTCAAAACTGTTCTGTTTAGAGTAGTGAAAAAATCTTTAGTTATCTCAACTAAAAATTTACACAAAAATATTAAGACAATAAGAGGGCTATTAACAACAGATACTGCAGCTTTAATGTTAAATAATCTTCTGTACATGTAAGGGCAGTGAAACACAAGTTAAGTGTAATTCTAAATTTTTGGCATGTATTTGTTCCAAACCTGTTTGTGCAGGAAATTTTTAGGCTAGAAAAGGTCTAAAATATTTAATCAAAAGGTGCGATGGACTCTGATAGATTAGTAAGGACACAACAGACTATTGCAATTTTGTCTGTTGGAGCCAAATCATCTCCTCGTCGAGCTGTCAGTAGCTGAATAGGGAGTGTTCCTTGTAATATAGTGTACTTTCTGCGCACAAGACCAATTACTCTTTCTACATGGATTCTTACATTAGCAATTTTCCTTGTCTCCTCTACGTCCTCTGCAGACAGCTTTTTTTTGCCTCTGGTAAATGCCGGTATATGAAGGCGAGCTTGATAAAAACCCACACTGTCAGCTATATCAAAGCCCCTATCAGCAAGCACTATGTCCCCAGGTAAAAGTTTCCTCAAAAAACCAGAATTTTCAGTAAGATATTTGTCACTGACTCTCCCACCCCATGCCTTTGATATAAATGAGATAACACCTTGTGGTGTTACACCTATGAGAAACTTAACAGTATTGTGATTTTTATAGTTAGACCATGTCATTGCCCTAGCAATTAGGCTAGATGGTCTTTCTGTAAATATCTCAAAGCAGTCAATAATGACTGCAACTTTTTTGCCAAAGTTGCATTGGAAAACCACAGGCATGGTGGCTTGCATTTCCTCATGCTCTGGCCACTGAATTAAAAATTTAAGTCTAACAGACATTACATGTATCCACCTGTCAAATATTCTGTGTGCAGTTGGCACAGATAAATTAAATCGATAAGCTAAATCCTGCAATGGGGAATTAAGTTTTAATCTGCTTAAAACTAACAAGAATTCCTGAAACTGACTAAGTGCATTTTGGGTGTTTCTTTTAATGTGGAGAGCAATAAGATTAAGGACATGCAGTAAAAGACTAAATTTGGGGATTCCAGTGTAAAACTTAGTTTTATCATCGTTATCTCTGAAGCTATCCTCAGTTAGCTGAACTGATAGCAGTTGCCCTTTTGTACTGCTCAGCTCATCAGTGATATCTTGCATGTAGATCTGCTGTCTGTCAAGTTCAGTCTGGCAGTACTCCTCTGCTAAAACAATATTTTCAGTCTGGCAACATTTGTTGTGGTGGTCGTTGTCATCATTACTGTTATCAGCAAGATTAATGCTTTCATCTAGTGAACATGAGGCTGCACTGAAATCGCTCACACTCACTGCAATAAAAAATATATACATGAAACGTGTTAACTGAATGACTCATGAAACTTAGTGGTAGGCTTGAAGAAGGCATACAAGCAATGCCAAAAACAGGATTATGAAGTTTATCATTTTAAATGACTTGATATGTAAGTGATAATTTCTACAAAAAGAGTGAAGACAGGAGGACAAGGTTTTAGCGTCAACATTATTTACCAGTAATCTCCATTCACTTGAAATACCTTTGTGGAGAATACTTATAATAAGAGATCAAACGTTAACCTGACATTGATAACGTACACTTACTAGATATTTCAGTTTCAACATATTCTTTTTCTTGAACAACCTCCATCTCACCACTTTTTCTAGACGTAGAGGAAGAAGCCATCTCATCGTAGTTCTGTTTGTTTTCATTCCTCTTTTGGGCACGAGCATTTCGGAAACCGCTAGCTGGGAAACATTTTGTTTAATTTTGTCATGACCAAGTTTCACAGTAGGTGCCCAGTCAGGGTTGGTGGTGGCCAAGAGCTCTGCACGTTCTCCTGCAAGTAAGTAAATAAAATAGTCCATGCAAACTAATCTTTCAAATAGCATTGTAAATACAGAGCAAATCTTCAGACAGTTATTTAGAAATGACTAAGGGATCTCAAAATGCATGCAGCTAAGCAAAGATTACAAAATGTGCACGAGGCGATTGTCAGTTCAGCTATCATTTGGTCCGCTGGCAGGATTTTTCTACGAAAAGAAATTATTCTACATATTATTTACACACCAGAAATAAAGTGACTGCTACAAACTCGAGAGTTTTCAGCTTTCTTATCATCGAATTCCTTCCTGTAAATATTTGCAAACCACTGCCTTCTTCGCCGTTCGCTCAATTCGCAAATTTCTTTGCCTTGGCTTACTATTATCGCTGGAAACCTGAAAAATCTGTATCTACCCTTATCTCTAGCAGTATTGTGTCCACAATTCTTTACAGCACAAATATAGCCCATTGATACAGTACTTGAAACACAAAGCGCGAAGTAACTGACCTAATGGCCTTTGTTTTGACACCACGCGACCGGCTGAATGTCCACCAGCATGGCCGACTTTCGGTGCACAGGCCATTGCATAATTAGTTGTGACGTCATGTGAAAACGAAGAATGGATAATTTTACCTTTAGCTTTGTTTAGGGGTATTTGCAGTGGAAGAGTTCCACTTGTCATTGACAATATGCCCTCGCCACAGAGCGGAATTTAGTATATGCTGGAGATCCTCAGAAGTGAAGTGTAGCATTCCACCAGAAATAGATGCTCACAAAACAGCCTCAGTCAAAGGCGATCGGCATTTAACAACTAGTTCATTACGGAAAGCAGGAAGTATTTTATCTTCACTTCCAACAAATATGTTCTTGATTACTTCATTGTTGGCCAGTGCACGGAAAACATTGCTAAAAACCTCACGCAAAACCCCACCAGTGTCAATGGCTGGTTGTCCCTTTAAGTAATTGAAGATAGGGATCAATGGGTCAAAATCTGAACTCTTGTAATAACTATATCCATCCATTACTTCATCCCCTGGGTCAGCTTTTAACTTCTACTGCATCCCCCTTGATTTCATTTTCCTTCTTAATTTTTGTAATACAAAAGGAAGGCTCCCTGACGAATGTGGTGGGTTTTCTTGGGTTACAATGTTACTGTTATCATTACTGCTGGTACTGGGGTTAATATCATGATTAAAATTCCCATACTGCAACAAAACATTGAAAGCAGTATTTATGGATGCACAGGTTACCACTGCATTTCTTATAACATCACGAGGAATTCTAGGGAACATTATTGATAGGTTTTCCACTCTTTCTTTGATCCAGCGTTGAGTTGATAGCACCAGAGGCTCTTAACAAATCATCATGATCGCCATCATTAATAGAGCATGAAAGTTGAGCTGAAGATTCAGAGGTTTCATCAACAGGCTCTAAGATTGTACCAGTTGAGGTATTACACAAATCAACATTGCTGCCGGTTGCTGACACAGTTTCCTCCTGGCACTTGTCACGAGCTTTGCCAGAAACTTCATCAATATTATGAGTTATGAATCTAACATGCAGTCTTCCGTTTCCACATATATGCTTCACATGGCTAAAATCTCATGAATGATTGTCTTTCACTATTGTAGTGATAAGTACGTTCCGTTCCCTCTTCACAAACTCAAAATCATACAGACCAATGTCAGGATATCGTTTCTCGAACACAGCCTTTAGTTCCCCTCTGATAGCCTGTTCAGTTTGGTCACTCTTCAGGTCGATTTCAGCCTTTAATAAGACGGAATCCTCAGTTATAGCATAATCACTATAACATCCATCGTCTGTTATCTCAAAATCGTCATCTGCGGCGCTTTCCATTCAACCAAAAATTCCGGAATGAAATTTCGAGTATTCCATGTGACGAATGGAACAGTATTTTCCGGTTGGTTTGAACCAAGCCGTCCCAGTCCATCACGTACCAATTTTCGCGTGAAAATACGAAATAAACAGGGGAATCAAAAAATGGCGGACTCTTTGTCTATTTTACTTGCTTTAGAGTTGCTCGACGACTATGAAGTTTAAATAAGCGAAGCATTGGACGAGGACGACGACATAACGCTGTTCGGTGTGGGTAGCTCCTACATGGGTAGGAATTTAAACCGAGTCTGCGACTACTTTGAGGGCACGATACCTCTCTATTTTCCTGACGAGTTTAAGGGTCACTTCAGAATGACGAGAAACTTGCGAGCTGTTCACTCGCGCCGTCATGCCCACAGGAAGGATACCACTTGGAAATGGATCTGGGCGAGCTGCCATCCCACCCCGGCTCCAGTGCAAAAGTGGTGCAAAAGAACATTCAAGTCATCTGTCGCATAATAACAAGCGGAACACTGATATTGAGCAGAAGAATTGGAAGCCATGTTGAGTTCGATTTCCGGGCTCTGAGAAACTGGGCGCGAGCAGGAATGGTCGAATGGAACGGAATTTTCCGGTTATTCTGATTTTCCGGAATTTTAGGCCAAACTCGCGAGGTACACCCAAAATTTCGGAATGAAATTCCGGAAAATGTCTGTTCCATTCGCTCCCAATCCCGGAATTTCCGGAATTTTTGGTCGAGTGGAAAGCGTCCCTGGTCTCTCCAAAAGCCAAACAGTCTTGGGAATTGACTGGACTGGCTTCGTCTTTTTTTGTTTCGTCTTCTTTGGCCTATTCCAATCACTGTTAAAGCACAAGCTCTTATTTCAAGAAAGCTAGCCTTAAAATAAGGGTTAACAGTTTGATTTTAAGGTAACCAAACCTAGTTTCAAGACTTTGCGACTCTTAAAAATGGTTAGGCAGATAGCATCTCAAAACAAGATGAACCAGGACCTGCATTGAGCACAATCTAAGCTAGTTTTAAGCCTTTTTGTTCTTAAAAAGTAAGTGGATGGATAGCTCAAAACAAGACAGAAGTAAGGACCTGGTCTTACGGACAATCAGACCTAGTTTTAACTCACTTTTATTCATAAAAGTTTCTGATTATGGTTATCTCAAAACAAGGTTAATTACGTGCTAGTTTTGTGGACAAACAAAGCTAGTTTTAAGATACTTTTAAGATTCTTGATTTTTTGCAAAATATATGTTAATATTATATTGTTGACTGATTTAAATAGCAACTATAAAAATAGACTGTCCATGAAAGAAAATGTAAACGACTATTTCTGAAGAGAAACTGAACTTAGAGGTTTTTACAATGAAACAGTCCCCCTTTTTCCATCATCAACAATCCTTGTTTTTCATAAATATTAAACTCATGCAACACAAAGTAAAACAACATTTACACTAAGAAATCCTGTAGTTAATATCATGGGAGAAAGATGCTTGTATGATATTATATATACTCATTTTTAGTGCACCTTTAGAACAGGTTATGAAGTTCAATTAATAGAAGCGCAGGTCTAAATTGGTACAAGAGCTCATGATTGTGTGACACTATAATGATGAGCTGGTTTTGAAAAACTAGCAAGATGCAATTAAAACCTAATGCTTTTGCAACCCACAGTGCTATCGTAACAATATAATGACCTTGCACCATGTGCTGGTCTCAGGTATTATGCTATGTATGAACGAAAACACTAGTAAGAAACCATGATATTTAAGACATGCACTTACAAGTGTGAATCACGCAAGACATTTAGCACAACTGGGGCCCATTTCTTTTAAGTCTTGGTAACTTTTTGGTCCAAATCAAATATTCAAATCAAAATATGAAGAACAAGAGCGTGGGTCCTGGCTATCAAACTACTCTATTTGGTTTCAATAACTGATAGTTTTATCATGTTAGATGCAAAACTATCGAAACCTCTATCTTGCATGTAAACAACAACAGCTCTACGGGCCCATTAATTTTCTGGACCTTCAAGAAATGGGCCCCTGGACCCTTAACCTTCTTTAGTTTGCCATACTAAGATGCAAAGGTGATTTTGGCCTTACAAAGTATTTAACAAAATAGCTGCAGTAGCCATTTAATGTTCATTTACTTCCTTCAAAGAGCCTGGACCCTTAACCTTTTTCATTTTGCCATACTAAGATGCAAAGGTGATTTTGGCCTTACAAAGTATTTAACAAAATAGCTGCAGTAGCCATTTAATGTTCATTTACTTCCTTCAAAGAGCCAGAACACTTTCCCTACATACAATGTACTGTGTACCCCCTTGTTTATGGGCATGGTATACTTCATCGTGAAACAAATCAGACTGTGAAAAAAAAAACTTATCCTTGAGCAGCTTCTGGCTCCAATACTTCAAAGGCATTTAGATGTTCACAGAATGGGTCCGTTTTCATAAACATAACCAAAACGAAAGGGCTATTGTAAGGTGCAATTCATATTTTTGACAATTTTGCAAATTGCGGTAGACCAGTATCATTTAAAGAAATAAGAAGGAAGTTGTTTGCACCTGGTTTGTAGTGAGTTCCATACACTGTAAAGGAATTGTACTGATAAATCTGTAAGTTATCGGCCAATTTATCCTTCTCTATCTCAGAATCGTGTGATAGTATTTATGGCGTACTCTCTGTCATGCTCCATTAGCAGTCTCCCTTTCCAAAACAGAATATCATCTGACAAAAGTGAACATGTGATAGAACTCTCATGTTCATTTTGAAGGGACGCAGCACTTTCCATACTTTGATGTATCTTTGCCAAAGACAGTGGTAAATTGTAAGAGCTCTTAATTGTGTGGGTCATGTTCTTAAAGTAGGTGTGTTTGCCTTCAAATCGCATACACTAACTTTGGATTAGAAGCCCAAACATCATTATCTGGGTTGGCAAATGAACCAGGTAATGCTGTTTGGGTAAGATTCTTGCATCTGGGTACACACTCTTAAACAACGTCAAATGTTCCTTGATTAAACGCTTTAAATTAATTATAGAGCTAAAAGTAACTTTATGAGCAAGGCAAATACCCATGATTTCTAGAAGAGAAATAAACGTGTTCCAGTGTGGTTCATTACAATTTACTTTGCCACCTAGAAAAAGAGGAAGCATGTGAGCAAGAAACCACATCTGACTTGCACTCTAGGTTTGAACTGGACTTAAATTCTAGGTCAGCCTCCTTTATGGGAGCTGGTTTGTCTTTTAACTCAGAGTAACCATAATCAAAGTTGTCAATTTCTTGGTTCAATTCATGAAGTGGGAAAATTCTGTTATCAGAGAAGTATTTCATTAGATATTTAATTTCATAACTTAAAATACCTTCAAGAAAAATATGGATAATATCCTATGGCAATTGTTTGGTTACATCAAAATATGGTGCTTCTAGAATCGTTGCCCTTTCATTTATTCCATACTGTTTTGAAAAAAAAACTTCTCAAATATTCTGAACCAGCATTTTCAATATGAGAAACCTGTTGATCATGTAAAGTACTGTCACGTAAAACAAACTCTTCCTCAAGAAAATGTTCTTGCATCTCATCCCAGTTTGTCATACAGTGCCGGCATTTTCTCTTAGCCCCACCAACTCCTTCTTTGAAGCAACCAGTAGCTCAACTTGCTGGAGTGTCAGCTATTCCTGCAAGGATTGCACCTCCTGAAATAAACAATGCCCCCTCCTATGTCAAAAGGATAAGCACTATCACTTCCCAGTTCTTTTAGGTCATCTACCAAGGGCTTAAGTATCTCATTCAAACCGAACTGTTTTATGTATGGCTTTCTACAAATGCCAAACAGTTGAATGGAGTTTAACTTTCCACGATAAACAGATTTTATATTAACAAGCTGGTAATAGAACAAACCTAACTGATGAACCTTGTTAGTCATTGGATTGGCAGTATTAACATCGTCATAGTAAATTACTAACTTTAGAGCAATAATAATAATAATAATAATAATAATAATAATAATGGAATTTATATAGCGCTTATACATTGCCGTTCTCAGCACTTTACAATGTAAAAAAGGACATAAGAATATCATTAAGCACAAGCTTACATATAACCCTACTATACACATCTTAAAAAGGAAAGAGAAAAAAAAAGCAAACAAACAAACAAAAACAAATATGACGAAACTAAATGTCGTATACCTTTTTCAAAAGATTAACATCAGAACAAGCTCGAATTTCAAAGGGGAGCTTGTTCCATAGTCGGGGGGCAGCAACGGAAAACGCTCGCTGGCCATAAGTTTTCATGTTAAAATTTGGTTCTTCAAGGTGTAAATGATCCCTTGATGACCGTAATGTCCTTCCTTGATGGTAAAATTTTAAAACATCTTCAAGATATCGGAGACCGGAGCCATTCAATGTTTTAAAAGTTATTAAATTTATTTTAAAAACAATTCTCTCCTCAACAGGAAGCCAGTGAAGATCTCTTAGAGTCTCGGTGATGTGATCTCGTTTTTCGAGACCCGCGATAATTCGAGCAGCCGCATTCTGAATGGACTGCAACTTAGCTATGTCCCGTTTTTGGGCACCAAAAAGAAGAGAATTACAAAAGTCCAACTTCGAGCTAAGAAAACTGTGAATTAGAATTTCTGTGGTACTTGTACTGATGTATTTTCTTATTTTAGAAATATTTCGTATGTGCTAGAAGGCACCCTTAACTATTGTATTAACATGAGGTGAAAGTGACATTGTGTCGTCAAAAATCACGCCAAGATTGTGAGCCTGTTGAGAGGGCCTGATGTTTTGCATGCCAACAGAAATCGTGGGCGGGGGCAACGAATGACGAAAACGGGAGTGCAGAAAGAGAAATTCTGATTTATCATTGTTAAGCTTTAACTTGTTGGCAGTCATACACAAATTGATGTCAGCAACGCAGTTCTCAAGACTTTGTTTTGCAGCCACTAGATCAGAGGTGTCATTGCAAGCAAAAGAGGTATAAAGCTACGAGTCATCAGCATAAAAGTGAAACAAGCCATGCTATCAGTAGAAAACAATGGATGGTTATGTACTAATAAGCCATCATTAAAGTCATGCAGGTAACCTCCAGAGCTGTCTCTGTTACTTTCAGCGAAGACCATTTGCAGAATTGCCTTTGACTTTAACTGTTCTTGTAAATTGTTCAAAATTGGGATGTAATAGAAAACGTTTGCAATTTACGTACATCTTATCTTGTTTCTTACTCTTTTAGACGCCTTTTTATAACCTAAGGCTATGCTCCATGGCTCCTGGCAAGTGAAAAAGAAAAATTATCATGGTTACAATTATTATTTTGTACGTGTTCTTTAAAAACTAAGTAAATACCAAGGTAAAATGTTTTCCTTTCCACACCTAGGCTGCCTTGATGCAGTTACATCAGACTTGCCGGCTACCTAGTTAATCATTTTAACTGATGGTTTATTTATTTAGTACAGTAAGTCAATTACAGAGTTATACTACAATATATGTCGCTGAATCCTTCGCGACTGTTTCTGAATAGAATTTGGCTCAGCATTTAAGAGAGCTTTAGATTCGAGGACGAGAACGAGTATGAGTACGACATTTTACTAATGGTTTTTTCGCATATTCTAAAACAATAGACACCCCAAAAAGCTTTATCGTACTTTTGATTCACCAGAATAGTTAGCACTGTTATTTTAAGAGGAGGTTAAGCCCTCTCCCAAACCCAAACTTCTAACATTATTTGCTAACTTTTTTCTGCCACTACAACCTCTCTAAAACCCATAGCAGAATGATGACAGCTATCTCGTACTTGTTCTTGTCCTCGAATCTAAACCTCTCATATCAATATTAATAAAACTTAAAATGATAAGTCTGCTAATTACACATAGCTCATTTTGTCTCGTTGAAATTCACCTGTCATCCACTTCGTCTGGAGGTCTTCATAGGGAAACATGTATTCGTCAAATACAGCTTCAAGACCAGGCACTTCCTTGATATCAGCATTTTCTAGGGTTTGTTCTATTTTTCTAAGTGTAGCGCTAAACAAAAATCTGATGAAGACTGTGCAACTCTTTGTGTTGTGGTTTGGGTGAGCCTGTTTTCTTCTTTGATTTTTAAAAGGTATCTTCCAGTTAAATTAGTCAGTGGTTCGTCTGAATGGGTCTGATTTAGAAGATTTATTGCTAATCATGAGTTCCTTTCATAATTGGTGTCTAGAAGTGGAGTGTGGACCTGGTGATTCACCTTGTAGATCTATCTGTAGCGAGTGTCTAGACCTGGAGAGTATGGACTTTGCAGAACACAATCAACATTGTATGCATCACATTAAGTGTTACTTTGCGCACCACAATTCGAAGCATCAAGACGAAGACCTTCCTCCATAAACCAATGCCCTAGAAATATAAAATAAAAGTTCCGGTGTTTCAATTGTTTACCTCCAGAAAATTAAGAGGCAGTGGCCCCCGACATTGTGCATGTGTTACATAAATTTTACTGATAGCATGTGTAGCGATCGCTCAATTTCCATACATCTTCAACATTTGATAACCTTAAGTTATTACACTTCACAAAAGTAAACATTCAATAATTTTCGATAACCCTGAAGGACATCTTTCATGGGGCAGTGAGGAGCTGACTGTCATAGTTTATTTTTCTCGGTCTTCCTCTGACACTAAACCTGTACTTTCAAGAACCCTTCAGCGGGGGTTGATTCACGTAAATAACACAGGTTTTAATGTATAATGCAATGAACGGAATATTTTTTTGATCTCTCACCCACCCACCCCACCCATATCATCTTTCATCCCCCCCCCCCCCGTGAACTCAACATGTGCCCCCGTACCTTGCCCCGACTCCGGATCAAGTGTATTCAAGAATAGGCTCTTTCTCGGTCAACGTTTTTTATAATTCTTTGCACACAACGTAAATCAGACATACCTGTTCCATTTGCTGTACTTTGTAACATCAGATTTTCCCTACAACTGTACAGATACGTCCTGTGCTTTTCTCGCACGTGTTTTGCTAATGAATTAGCTCTTCGAAATCTTGCCTCGCCTTAATCAATTCTACAATACGCAAAAGATTGCTCCTCATCGTTGTGGCTAGTGTTAATGTGAGTTAACAAAAGGTGAAGGAAGACAGCAGAGAAGGCACAAAACACACAACACCAATAAGCCATACTGCAAACCTCCTCAAATGCAGAATGTGAACGATATTTGGAAGACACCCATTGGCGGATTAAAAAAAAACCCGCCACATTGATCATGCCCTCTCATTGGATAAGTGAAGCAGCTACAAGTGTTCATGGGATACATAGGCAGGGTGAAATCACTTCAATCATGGAGGAAGACGAGGAGGTTGTGTATTATTTGTCTCCAGGAAAAGATTCCTTCGTGGGGTTAACTTGTGGTTGACAAAGAGAGGTTGTTTGTTGAATCATTGCAGCATTCTCGAAGGCGAGGTCTTGAGCGATTCATTGTTCATGTTTCAGTCCCACTGGATAAACTGGAAACCTAAGCCGAATTTCCCGCCTAAATTTTACAACTCCAAAGAAATGCAAGGTTTAAAACTTCTTTAAAAATCTGTTTTGCTATAATCAGCAGTTATTGTTATCCTTGGGAAGGACCATAATTTTTCATTTGGTAGCTTTCATTCAAAATAAGTTATTTATAAATTATGCAGTAAAAGCAGGATTAACATAATCCAGTTACAGTGAAACTGACTAATCGCTCTGTACTGTTTCTTAAAAAAATCCTTGAAAGTCTTTAAAAGGTTCTGTAATCTTTACCATACCCAGTAGTCAAATTCCACCTCTTCAGGCCACAAAGGAGGTTTTGCATCCTTTAAAAGAGGTACTGCATCACACAGTTGCTTTGCAGCGTCTTCATAGTGCTTAGAGGTGACACGCTTACCAACATAAGCTGCAACACAGGTGACAGTTTCTCATCTCAGCTGCTTTCTTGTAGCTTCGTCAAGGGCTGTATTCTCTTTCACACACTCTTTTATTTTGGCTGTGATTGGGAGCTTAAAGTCCTGCCCCAACAGATTGACCATTTAAACTGATGGTTCTGGGAATTCTCTTGGTTTTGTCCTTTTCAGTGCAGGGACTGAGGGGCTAGGTTGAGACTGAGAGAGGGGTGGATCTTCTTCCAAAATGAAATGCTTAAAGTACTCAGTGCTGACACATTTGACAAAGGGGTCGATGAACGAAATGACTGACTAGGGCTAGGGGCTGAATTTAAATCAAGGATAAAATTGAACCTCACATATTACATTGCTGTGCAGACAAAAAAACAGTACATATATAAATACAAAAGAAGGTATGGATGGACAGAAGTAAAGAAGATTCAAACAGATTGCATTATGGGGTTTTGAAATCTGCCCAGCCTACCGGTTTTCAATGCATTCCTTGTTATTAATTTTTAACATATTGGCTATTGGGATTGGGAGGCAAATTTTTTTATCACGAAGATTTGATTTTGTCGTAAGTAATTCCTTCGCTCACGCTAAGATCAGTGGCAAGTAAGTGCGAGAACATGTGCATTGGCAACATCACAGAAGAGAATAGACCAGACTGCCGTGTAGCACAGCTCTACAGTAACTTACCAAATTAGGTTCCTGTTGTAAATTGCTAAGAAAGTCGGGAACTTTTTTCTTGCCAAAAAGTCTACTGGGAGCAAATCTTTCAAGTACGAACGGGTCAGCTTACAAAACATGTTCCCATCCACATTATTGTCTATAATAAAACAAAGATTGTACGTTTTTTTTTTTTTTAATTTGTTTGTTTATTTTTTTTTCTTTATTGACAACAAATCAACAACATTAATACACAGCAGAAAGTAAAAGAACAAATAAGTAAATAAATATGTCAGCAAGTAACAAAACAAATTACAATAAAAATAAAAAAGGGTATTGGAAAAAAAAAAACCTGTCAGTTGCCACACATATTTAATATGGTTTGCCACAATTTTCAATGCGATATTGTTCAAAAAGCTTACGTAAAAATTCCTCTAAATTAGGTTTCGTTACAATGTTCTTGCAAGTATACAAGTATTTCTTTTGTAGTAAAACCAATAGACGAAGTTTGCGTTGAGTTGAAATTGGCATTTGCATTGGAAGGGAGTCATCGAACGTGTTAAATAAAATTTGCTTGTTTGAAAGTTGTACGTTCTCTTTGTGATATTCATTAAACCACCTTAAAGTTATGGAAAAGAATTCCTTTGACTCCTGACAATATAAAAAAGTGTGTTCAATTGAATCTGGATTTAGGCAGAAAGGACATTTATCATCCGAGGCTAATTTATATTTCAGTAGTTCTTTCTTTGTCGTGATTATTCTGTGCACAACCTTAAAGGTGAATTGTCTAAGCTTATTATATTTCGAGGACTTGTATATTCGCAAAACAATCACTCCAATTCGGAATTTCTGAAAAGCTTTTTTCCCAAGCCCTTACTGCGGAGGGTTCTGAAATAATCTTCTCGATGAACAGACTGTAATAATTTTTACAACGGAATTTGGTTAAGACTATTGTTCTATCTTCTAGTTGACAGTACTCTGAAGTTGCTCCAAGCAGATCAGGAACCGTGGAACCAAATGCCTTTCGTTTCAAATCTGGAGGAATGGCAGCAATTAATTGAAAATAGTGCAAATAGTTAGCTTTAATTTCAAATCTATTTTGAAATTCTTCGAAGGTTAGAAATTTACCATTTGAGTTCATTAAATTGCTAATGAAAGTAACACCACGATCAAACCATTGTTTCCAGAAGACACTATTCCTTTCTATTGTAATTCTCCTGTTATTCCAAAGAATGAGGTCATTGTTTTTATCGTATTCTGACAATTTCGTTGGTTGTTGGAAATAATCTAATAACTCACGGTAGAATAAAGGTAGATTGTTGTCAAGAGTTGCAGTATTGTAGTTGCACTTAAGAAGAAAGGGCAGGCCACCATATTTGTCGAAATAGAAATTCGGTATTGCCTTCCAATTATCATCAGAGTTGCTAATCAGTCTAGCTATCCAGGCTAGTCGCAAAGATTTAGCCATAATTTCAAAATTTATGAAGTTAAGGCCACTGTTTTCAAGTGGCTGGCATACAACATTTCGCTTAATTTTATCTTTCTTTTTATTATTTTTCCACAAAAACGAGAACAGGAGACTTTGAGCGGCGCGTGTTACTGCATCAGGGACAGTCATTAGTGAAGCAGTGTAGATTAACTGAGAGGCACCAAGTGTTTTGGCTAGAACTGATTTGCCAAAAAGCGTAAGGTCACGCGTTTGCCTGAGATTCAGTTTAGTTTTCATTTTACGAATCTTGCTGAAGAAGTTGGTATCGTTGTTCTTGTCTGCCTTGTACGACAAATGCGCCCCAAGTATTTTAATGGGGTCTTTTATGCTGTGAAATTCCAATATTTTGGGGTTTTTTTATGTTTTGAGGAGGCAATCCACATTGCTTTGGTTTTTTTCTTATTTAGACGTAAACCAGATATGCTGCCGAGACTTCCGATGATCTGTAACGAGAATTTTAGAGAATTGGTGTCTTCAGATATCAGAGTAGTGTCATCGGCAAATTGTGAGATTTTAGCTTCTCGCACATTGGGAAGACGTATGCCTTTACAATTTGGTTCTTCTCGAATTTTCAAGGCAAGTAACTCAACGGACAATATGAAGAGGAATGGACTCAGCGGGCACCCTTGACGAACTCCCCTGGATACAGTGAAGTAATCAGTCATGTAACCAGCGTTCATCACTGCTGCCTCGGAATTATTGTAAAGAATTGAGAACCATCTTGTCAAGAATGGCCCCAAATTAAACAATTCTAAGCTTCTTTTTTATAAAGTTCCACTCTATGGAATCGAATGCTTTTTCAAAGTCGATAAAAAGAAAAATTCCTGAGATCTTCTTCACATCCGTGTATTCCATAAGGTCATTCAAAAGTCTTACGTTTTGACCAATAAATCTATCCTTCATAAATCCTGTTTGGTCCGAATGGATTAGTTTGGGAAGTAAAGGTTCTATACGTTTTGCAATACACTTTGCCAGGATTTTGTAATCAACATTAAGCAATGTTATTGGGCGCCATCCAGTAAGCTCTGACAGGTCGCAGTCATTTTTTGGAATTAAAGAAATTACTCCTCTTCTCTGGGACACTGAGAGACTGCCTTTCTGAAAAGCTTCATTATACGAATCAAGTAGATTCTGATTTAAAAGGTCAAAGAAAGTTTCATAAAATTCTTTGGAGAAACCGTCTTCACCAGGAGTTTTATTTTTCTCAAAGGAATGCAACACATTTTTAATTTCTTGTACAGTTAACTCATGTTCAAACGTCACTTGTTCCTCGTTAGACAGACGTGGAATTTCCAAGTTTTGAATAAAGTCCTTTAGGCCTAATTCCTGTTCAGATAGCGGGACATCAGTAAGCTTGGATTTGTATGTTTCGCTAAAAACACCTCTATTTGTTTATTTATCTTTTCCATGTCCGAAGTGATTTCACCATTATCTAACTTAATTTGAAGCAAGGTTTTCGTTAAATAGTTTTTCTTTTCCAGATTAAAAAAGTACTTTGTTGGTTTTTCGCCTTGTTCTATCCACTTAACTTTGGATCTAAAAATTGCCTCTTTACCTTTTGATTCGTACAAAGAATTCAATTCGTTTTTCTCCGCCTCGTATTGATCTAGGATATGAGGGTTTAAATCAGCATCACTGCAAATTTTATAGTCCAGTTCATCTAAATTATGTTTGAGGAAAATCTCCCGTTTTTTAACCTCAGCTCTTTTCTTCTTAGAGTAGCTCATGGTCTTGGCTCGAAGTTCCATCTTTATCAGTTCCCAAAGAAGTTGTTTGCTTTCTACATCTTTGTATTTTTCTAGCGTCCAAGGGTAAATAAAATTTATTAAATCTATGTAGTCTTGATCTTCTAATAAAGTATTATTGAATTTCCACGTCCCAGGCCCTCTTTTAAGTTCACTTTGTAACTCCATACCTAAAAAAATTGCTTTGTGGCCTAATTGTTTCGCAGCATCTAGCCATGGTGGCGTGCGATGAAAACCCCTTTGCCGGCGGCACAGTTAAAAAATGGGGTATATCGCTTATCTTTCTACAAAACTACAAACATAGCAAACAAAGAAATAATCTACTTGGATATAGTTTAGAAGTTACAGCTTCTTACGGCAGAGATTGAATAGGTGCCTCGGGTACCCGAGGCACCTATTCAATCTGGCTGTCAAACAATTCGTAGATTCCAAGGTAGCAGACCAGCAAATTCCATTAATCGACATGACTCCAGCCCCCATTCGAGTTGTCATACCATTTAAAGATCAGGTGTCTGTTAATATAGTGAAAAAACGTCTCACAGACCTCAGCTTAAAAATCAAGACCACTATTCAGCCCTTCTTCATCAGCAGAAAACTCAAGGATGACCTTAAATTTCGAGAAGTCAAGCCAGCCATTGTTAACCAACAATGTTTAGTTTATCAATTTCAATGTAACCTGTGCAATGCAGGATATGTTGGTTACACTCGCGGCCACCTCCACGAATGCGTTGATGGACACAAACAGAAATCGTCGTCAATTTGTAAACATTTTTTTAGCGAACATAACTCAGATGTATCACCTTTCCTTTCACGACAATTTCACATGCTCACTAAAGGTTCTAACAAATTTGACTGCCTAATTAAGGAGATGCCCTTTATAAGAAAACTCAAACCATCCCTAAACGTGCAGGCGGACTCTAGTCGCGCAAAGGTATTCACTTGAAGAACTTGTGATCCTTTGTTATTATACTAATTTGTAGAGACTATAGAAATCAAATCTTCGCATTATTTACTCATTTTGCCTTGAGAATGGTGTCATGATGATACCGAAACGTCGGCTTTTAACGTTAATATTGGCTTGCGTACATCACTAAATGTTGCATTAATTTTGTTATTAGGCCGAGGCATTTCTTAAAACACTGACTAAGGCATTAGAAGCAAAGCAAGAGGGTAGCCTCCACATATCATTTAGCATTAATTTACAAAACACAGTCACTGTAACAGTACCCTAGTACAGGGGGTCTCCATCAGTGTAACGAACACTGATTGATCTATTCTATTTATGGCTGTTAAGGGAACTGGAGCTGCTGATTTCAAAGTTAACAAAGAAAAAGTGTGAACTTGAAGTTTTTATAATTCGGTGGAAGGGATTGACAAAATGTTTTGTGGATGAAAGTAATACAGGTATGTTTATCAAAGAAATATCTAGATAAATAATTTAGGTTAGGATTTGCATGCTTGTGTGCAAGGATTTCTACCTAGCAGGGAAGGATGATTGTTTTCCGTTGTACACATGTCAAGTGGGGACAAAACTCATCTATGCAAACAAAGGTGATAGCTCTGTTGGTACTTTTCAACCAAATGTCTCAAGTAATGGAAATGATATTTCTATCACCCACAGAAATTCAAGCAGGCTGCTAGGTAGGCCTGCATATTGTGCTAGTTACTGTAACGAGGACCGGGACCACACTACTTAATTGGAACACTTTATGAATTCCAATTTATGTTTTATTCCATTTCTGTAGTAAATAGCAGTAAGTCAAGTACAGATCACTTTTAATTTCCACAGGTCTCAGTTTTGGTTGCCACGCTACAGAAAAGTAAACGACACCAAAAGATTGTCTGCTATGTAATCCTTTCACAGAATGCTCCTATGTGGCTCAGTAATATATCGAAAGAGCAGTTACTTCTCTTGACCTGTGGAATGTGACCAGCAGAAGTCGCCGCCCTGTGCATTAATTGGAGTTAAGCCCCAAAGTTATATGAAACCTTTGTTACTAATTAATTCTGTTTGTCTTTTTTTATTACACTTTTCATTGCAGATGGCTTGGCAGCACTACAAAAAATCCATTAACCATTCACCAAAATGGCACCACTTCTTCTGACATTAAAGGTAAAGTCACCCAAAGAATAATTAAATAGTGTAATTTATGCCACACCTATTGGAAGACAGCAATTGATAATGATAATATTGGTGTTGTTGCATGTAGTTTTATTAAAAAAAAACGCAAAAATGCATTGGAAATTACTGGTTAATTCATGACTTTTGTCATGGGCATGTTATTTACCTTATTTCTGAAATCATTATTGTTGGGCAGTTAAGGTGACAAAAATTCCTTGGTGTAGAGAGGAAGCAATGACTTTTTATGGCTGAATTGAGAGATCTGGGCTGATGCACTTTTTTTGGATCTTAGGTTTTAGGTCTTGTATATAGGACTAATTTATTTTTTGGGGGATGGGGAGACATGGAGTGGTGGTGTAAAGAGGGCTCTGTCAACCTGCACTTATACTCAGGTCTCCATCAGGCTATCATCGAAAGTCAATCATTTGGGTATTAATATTTTATGAAAGGACAGATCAGTGGGATTTCTCAACAATTCGACTCCTAAAATGGTTGCTATACAAAGGTATTTCCAAATAGGGGGGTCCAGACGTTAATGATTTGTAATGGCAAGGGGATTACAGACTTCATAGTCGACAAGCCAAAGAAGAAACCTTAGAAATATAAAAATACAAATTTACGAGAAGTGAACCTCGTAAATTATTGAACAACGTCTCAGTAAACCTGCTGATAAACTTGATGCTTTCTTTAAGGGAGGTGAGAAAATGGAAAACTTCCTGAAAGACATTCCATCAAAGTTTCCGTATCTGGGTCATGCTGAGGGAGATACCGCTGACTCTGCAACCCAGATGTTTGTAATCCTAGAACAGGATGTTCTCTGTGAATGGATTAAGCACCCAGATTATTCCCTCCCTCTTTCATCGTTAGTAACATTAGTGGCAGTGTATTGTATTTTTAACTTAGAGTATGAAGATGAACGCAAACATCTCTTCAAATTGTCAGAAGAACATATTTTTGGCATGACGCCAAAACGCAAGACCTATCTCTTAAAACAGTTGTAGAACAAACTACTATCAAAACTGAACAGCCCAAATAGCAATTAACTCAATAAAAGAGGGTGTAACAGGATATGGTCTTTGCATTGCATTAAACCACCAGACCCCAGTTGTTCAAAAGTTGGATGAGCACTATCCATCGGATAAATCTCTATCCAGTGGATAAGAGATTTACCGGGTGGATAGTGCTATCCACCTTTTGAACAACTGGCGCCAGGTCATTCCTCAGATCCTTCACTCGTCTCTGGTAACAGATGGCAGCGTAATTTAGAGTATAGATCAATGCAAACGCCTCTTTAATTTCTTAGGAGAACATATTTTTGGAATTGTTTCAAAGAAAACCAGCTTGATTCGTGTAACTGATCTTAAATTATGCCGGTTTCATATTCCATGCATTTTAGAGTTAATTTTACTTAACCTGTGAAATAGGCAGTACAATAATACACACTGTTATGCACAAATTTCATTGTCTTATTTTCTTTACCTTTTGTTATTTTGCACCTATACGTGGCATTATCTGTTTCACAGGTTACTTAAAATCTCTCTACAGTTGGTGTTAACAAGGTTTTTCAACTGCTGACATGAAATAGTTGTAGGGTTTTTTAATTAGTTCACTCACAGTCATTAACGTCTAAAACATGGCCGTGATTTTTAATATTACCATTGGGATGATTTATTTGTTATTTCATCCCTAATTAATTTTTCTGTCCCTTGTCTGACCAGCAGTGTTAAAAGTGCATTATGTAGAACATGTTGAGTTCATTTATGGATGTAAAAAATTACCGTTGTTAACATGACTTATTCAAGTTATTAGAAAATGTATCTATATTGCATGAACATAATTAATCCAGTCTTAAATAAAACATTGATATTTTGACCCAACAGTCTCCTTGTACAGTGTATATATTGCAATGAATAATTAAAGCGTTCTTGCCTCAAAGTTATAATTTCAGTTGAATATTATATCCTGAAGCAGGAAACAGTTCCATAATTTAAGACAATGATGAACTGATTTTCACCTCAAAACAAGCAATTTTCCTTTATATCAAGGTAAACTTAAAACAGGTTTTCTATCCTAAAACTGGGAAATATTCTCTGATTTCAAGGCAATTATGGCTTGCTTCATGGCTTAAAACAATATATTTTTTTACTTGATCTAAAGTCGGTAAATATCTTAAAACAAGGGAAACCTTCCTTTTTTCAAGACAACTATGACATGAAGACAAGAAGCAAACTTCTTGTTTCTGCCTTATGCAACTCTTTCCTATCACCTGAAAACAAGGAGAAGATTTCCGATTTCAAGGAATCCGGTTCTTTTTTGGGGATTTTGGGTTTCTTGTTTCAAGCATTGGAATGTCTTAGGACCTTGAAATAAGACTGTTTTGACCTTGTTTTAAGGAAACTTATTTTAACAGTGGAACGTGCGGTTGTCATCCCAGAATGAAGTCATTCGTCAAACGAAACTCAAAATCATCTGTGACCAGTGTTGTCTATTACTGCCTTCAGAAGAAT